TCTGCCCCAGGCTGCCCCAAGAGCAGCTGGGGTGCTGATGGGTTGGTCTCGCTGCGCCAAGGGTCGGCGCTACTGCACCAATCCGGCAGCACCCCAGCTGCTCTGCTGCAGGCGTCTCCGATTCAGCCGCTGCTGAAACTGACCAGCAGCGGCTGAATCGGGGACTCCTGGGGCAGAGCCGGACTATCAGAAGGGAGAGCTATGAGGGGGTCTGGGGTAGCATCCCCCCACCCCACCCCAGACCCCTCATAGCCCCCCCTTCTGCTAGTCCGGCATATCTGATAATCCGGCACCCCCTGGGTCCTAAAGGTGCCGGATTATCAGAAGTTTACTGTAGTCTGACCAGGGATGTAAATAACTATTTACACAATTAACTTGTAAGATGACTAAAATTAAAATATTTAACCAGTTAACCTTTGGCCAGGGTCTTGCTCAGCCGTCCCAGCTACCCACCCGGGATGAGTTGGAGAGCCTATGGCACCACTTGCTGGCCCAACACGGGTGTGGCCCTACTTACTGCCCCCCACATGGCCAGCTAGACTCAGCCAGGGCTGCTCATGCCTGCCAGCATTGGCCGTCCAGTTATCTGGTAAGCATTCTGGTAAGCCAAATGCTTACTGGGTAAGTAGTTAACTGGTTAATCTTTTACATCCCATGTCTGACCTAGAGTGGCAGTTCTTGTAATTGCTAATGGGAAGCAGGGAACAGTGAATCACAGAAGCATGGAAAGAAGCATAATCAAAGTTTTAAGTATTACATGAGACTAATAGACAGGAACGGGAAGTCAACCCCCCTCTAAAGCAAGGAAGCATCCAGTAATACCTCCCTACCAAATGATGCCTTTGCAAAGATGGGAATCAATTCTGCTAATCTTCAGATGAGACTCAAAACACTTTTTCCTCCAAATGTACCGAGTGACTTCTGTGAATAGCTTTCCAGATGTCTAGCATGCCAATTGGTGCAGGATTTTAATACCTTGCTTGCAGCAACTGAGAGGCCCTAAGGCCTTAGCATTCTGAATACAGTGAGATGAACAGGGTTCAAGTGGCTTGTGTATTCTTGAGATTCATCAGAATTACCTGTATGCCACAATCTTCCAAAGGAGGAATAAAGGTTAGAACAAAACAATCTTAGAACTACATCTCTGAGACTAAAGAAGAAGGAACTTCCCTTAAACACAAAGGTGTCTGGAGCTTTAATAACAACCTTTTTCTCATATCAACCATGATGGGGTTCTTGTATAAAAGAAAGGCAACATTGTGCTGGGCCCAGTGCAAACAAAGAAGCAATCCCTGTCCCAGAGCTTTGTTTCCTCTTGCACCAGAAACCAAAGTTTGACCAGATCTATCACTGAAATTTCCTTTTTGATTTCTGTCTGGATACCAAAATGTATCAGAAACTAATGAAGAATCTATATTAAACTACATTTCATTTCCAATAGTCAAGTAGTTAGCTGTAGATGTTCTTAGCTCAGACAAAGGAGTCTTGTGCTTCAAGAGGCCCAGTTCTTACTAGCTGTACAGTGAGGGATCCTTGGTACTTGCAAGTCCAAGGTGCCTTTTGGGCTAGCAGAGAAGGGGGACTTCAATTCTCCCTTTTCCTCCTGTCTGTTGCCTTTATGTTAACTGTTCTGAGAGGTAGCAGATTCTTTTCTGTCCAGAACATTATTTCCACTGTCCTGGAGAAGCTTTGTCCTCCAATTACTTCCTGGTTTTGGAAGTAAGCACTTTTACTTCAATTATGAACCAATCTCTGTGAAGCAACAACTTTTCCAGTGACGAAAATAAATTGGCCGCTACATTTTCTTGTACCTTCTTCTGACATGGTACTGGCCTCTGTCACATGCCAACATTCAGGGCAGGTGTTGGTTTGGACACACCACTGATAAAGCTAAGGGAGTTAAAAGGATGTATACTCTAAAACCAGTGGTTCCCAACCTTTTGGGGCTGCTGGGCACCCACGAGCAGGGCCACTCATGCGCTGGGCACCCGGGGGCGGGGCCACCCATACGCCACGTGCCTGGGGCCAGCGCTGCTCCTGTGAAGTGTGCCCAGGGGCAGGGCCGCCCATACACTGCGCTCCCAGGGCTGGCACAGCCCATGCTCTGAGCGCCCGGGGCTGCCCATGTGCTACATGCCCGGGGCTGGCGCTGCCCCTGTGCCAAGAGCCTGGGGCGGGGCCGGCCCCAATCACTTGGCAGGCACACAGAAATGGCCCGGCAGGTGCTATGGTGCCCGCGGGCACCGCGTTGGGGACCACTGCTCTAAACTCTTTAAAAATGTGTCTTTCAACTATGCTTCCCTACCTGATAAATTTGCTTCCAAGGGTCTA